CCAAGTACTTTTTGTTCTGCACAGTACAATGGTTTGAAGGATAGTGATGAAAAATCCTGAGTCGTTTCCTGAGGGAAAAAGGGTTTTGTGGAAATTTTCCCCTGTGATTTTTAGGTTAGATAACAGCTTCCGCCGATTGGGATACAGTTACTGGTTTTTACTCTTGAATTTCAAGGACTATAAAGGTCCGTTTTTGGTTCTTGTGAGAATGGGTGAGAAACCCAATTCCCATGGGAGTATCCAAGGACAAGTTTTGGCAATTGCTGAAACTCGTCTCTGTTTATTGCTTAAATTTCTAAAGGCGCCATTTGGCCTGCTCTCTTTGAGGATTAGGTTTGTTTTTAGAATAGTGTGACAAGAAAAATTACTTTCCGTCAGCTCGAGGCTGGTGATTAAATTCGATATGCTTGGTTCTGCAGAAGTGACTCAGAAAATTTGCAACACCATGGTTGGCAGAAAATTTATTTGCTGCTGGGTCTGCAGGGAATTCTTTTTTTTCAGCAACAATAAATTTATGAAGTGCTGCAATGGAGTCTGTTATCAGCATCTGAAATTTTGGAAAGACAATGGCAGTTGAAATCGCGCAATGAAAGATGAAAGCTGGCTTTATCTCCCAAGGCAAACCTTGATAACTCAAACCTCCCTAAGTCAAATACCCCCTGAGTCAAAATTTTTTTCAGGTCCTGTCTGAATCCCTTCAGATTTGAAATGTTTAAAACCTCCCCAAGTCAAAGGCTTTTACCCTCAAGCCTCCATAAGGAGAATTTTCTGTGGTCTGTTGGCTTTTATTCTCTTGACACAAGAAAGAAAACAAAGCAATAAATGCATGAATTGATTTGTTAAAAAAAGGGGAGAGACTTAATTGGGCAAATGAACCCTACTTCCAAGTTCATGATGCTTTCAACTCATTTAAGAATTAATTTCAGCCTTAGAATATTAAAATGTACAATTTTGATCAATTTTTCTATGTTTCCCAGGACAAAAGGGCTTTTTATTGTAGCTAAATTCAAAGCCTCCTCAAGTTGGAATCTCCCTAAGTCAAATGAAAAACGACCAGGGAACTTCAAACTGAATCTCTCTAAACTTACATTATGAATTCTGTTTATGAGTGGGAGATTTTACTTGACCCAACGACGTAAACTTAAAAAGTAAGACTCCTTGGAAAAAAGTTCCCAACCTTTCCAATTTTTTTGAAGACATTCCACTTATAGCTGCTTCATTAATTCTTGATTTGATTTTTGGAACAAAAAAGCATAAAAATTTTGAATACCTGCCATAGAGTCTTGGAAACAAAACTTTTTGAGTCTGCAAAAATTTTATGAAATGCTACTGGTCTGCAGACAATTGTAAGAACATTTTCCAGTCATGAAAAAATTTTTATACAAATTTGCTCTTTTCACAAAAATTGTGTGCATGCAGTATAACCATCCAATGAGACTGTAACTGCACCATTTAGTGTACAGTACTGTATGTACTGTTTACTTCTACATATATTACTGTATCTGAATGTAGTTACTGCATGGCAATGAGTGTTTATCTTACCCATTGTTCTCCTTGAATGCAAGTGAAATGTGGTTACATGAAACTCCTGTATATACCCCAAGAAATTATTTTCTTAAATTACTGTGGTACTGTAGCATCATTGAGATTCCCATTCAAAAATTTCCCCTTTTATATATGTTCCATTTGAGATACTTTATTTTTAACCTCATTTTGTTTGCACTTTGATTTCCAGAATTACAGCCACATTGATCTTGTATCTTTGACAAATTACAATTCTCTTTCACAAATTACAAGATCTACCCTGGAAAATCATGAGTTATGAGTGAAATAAAAAAAATTAGTCATCTGTAATGTGGACCTGACACAGGTTTCCAGTTCCTTGTCTATCCATATTTAATTAGAATCACAGGCATGAAACTTGGAAAGGAACAATGGCCTGTGTTGAAAATGAACATTTAATTATTATTCCTGCTTTGCCTTTGTCTGAAATGATGAGGGAATTAGTTTTAAAGTCCTAATTATGCACTTGGTCAAAAGCCCCTTCTTTCTGTCTCAAACCCCAAAAAAAATTTTAAGAGCTTCTATCAATTTTTGCAATCATTGATGCTTTTTATGAACAAAAATGAATGTGAGACACACACAGAATTTTGGAGAATCAATCAACTTCCATGTATGAATGTGGAATTACGTTCTTGCTTTGCCTTTCTTTGAAATGGAGAGGTGATTGATTTTGAAATCCTGCAAATTTGTCAGGGGTCAACTAGATGTCGCCCAAGACACAAGCCACATCCCACCAAAATACAAACAAGAAACCAATATTAAATTCAAAACATTATATAAACAATTGAATGAACCCCCTGACAACAAATCAACCCTGGAGATGAAACCTTCACAAAATATTCCACAATGAAGGAAACATGAACTGAATGATCATTATCAAAGGAATTCATCAGATTCATGAACAATACAAGGAATCCTAGTTGAATCATGGTGTTTTATGGAAGAAATATTCTTCAGAATTCCATGAAAAAAATAATAATCTGCCAATTAAACTTGATTCAGTGAATATATTTTCAACTCAATAAGAGTATTTGGAGCATTGAATAGTGTATCTCTGTACTGGTCATTGAAATGTTGGCATTTACAAAAATAACATTTGAGTCACAAAGAGCAAAGGAAGCCCCTCTATGCAATAGGTAATTTTTTAATTAGCTGAATGGATGGGAAAATGATGGGAGAAGTTAAAACGAATTTTTATTGCATAAATCTTAGGGTTGGAAATATCTGTTTCTTGCAATCAAGCTGAATAAAATTCATTTTTTGTTAAATTTATTGGCAATTTTAAATTATAATTTTTAACTGGTTTATGGAAGAAATATTCTTCAGAATTCCATGAAAAAAATAATAATCTGCCAATCAAATTTGATTCAGTGCATATATTTTTGACTCAATAAGAGTATTTGGAGCATTGAATAGTGTATCTCTGTACTGGTCATTGAAATGTTGGCATTTGAAAAAATAACATTTGAGTCACAAAGAGCAAAGGAAGCCCCTCTATGCAATAGGTAATTTTTTAATTAGCTGAATGGATGAGAAAATGATGGGAGAAATGCCAAAGAATTTTTCTTGCATAAATCTTAGGGTTGGAAATATCTGTTTCTTGCGATCAAGCTGAATAAAAGTCATTTTTTGTGAAATTTATTGGCAATTTTAAATTCTAATTTTTAGTTGGTTTATGGAAGAAATGATCTTCAGAATTCCATGAAAAAAAACTGCCAATCAAGTTTGATTCAGTGAATATATTTTCAACTCAATGAGAGCATTTGGAGCATGGAATAGTGTATCTCTGTACTGTACATTGAAATTTTGACATCTACAAAAATAACATTCAAGTCACAAAGAGCAAAGGAAGTCCCTCTACGCAATAGGTAATTTTTTAATTAGTTGAATGGATGGGAAAATGATGGGAGAGGTTAAAAAGAATTTTTCTTGCATAAATCTTAGGGTTGGAAATATCTGTTTCTTGCAATCAAGCCAAATAAAAGTCAATTTTTGTTAAATTTATTGGCAATTTTATCATGCAATGTCCTCATGTCAAGTCAGTGTCTGTATGTCGTGCCTTTTTCATGCCCTTTTTATTGAAAAATAAATGTCCCTAAGTCGAATTATCCTCATGTTGAGGTGTCCGCATGTGGGGGTCTCACTGTATTTGAATATTCGGCGTAGATGAGATTGTGGTAAAGTGAGTCTTTGCGTAACGGAAAATTTGCGTGACTAGTTGTTTTTTTCGTTTTGTTTTTTTTGAATCGGGAAAAAGTGACACGTAACGAAATTGTATGGCCCAAAAAATGCTTAAATTTCAACCAGTTTTTCCCCTGAATGTCCGCCACTGAAAAATCCCTGGAAAAAAGGTTTTATTTGGAGTAGCTGAGATGGTGTACAGTGAGTTCCTTGCATAGCGAAAAACTTCGCGGAAATAATTTTTTTTAATGTGGGAAAAAGTGACGCGTAACAGAATTGTATGGAAAAAAAATTGTTTTGTTTGTCGTCTTTTTTTTTTACGGTCATGAAAGATTGAAATAATTCGCAGTAACACCTTCGTGTTTCGTTGTACGAGGATTCCACTCTACTTGTACTGATGATTTCCGAGCTCGTTAATTCCACATGTATGGCGCCATCTTGTTTTTTTAGTTTTAACAAAAAAACTGAAGAGTGATTGAGAAAATTGCTGGTCTCTTAACATAGTCTCATCTAGTCGTTTTCTTGGTGACTAAAGAGGAAATTTTATTTTTAATCTGTGGCATTTTGACACGTTTTGTTTTTTTGTTTTTGTTTGATGCGATATGGAATAATTTTCTTTCATTTTCCATTTTGAAGATTTTTTTTTGTTCAGTGTATGAGTGTCTGAAAAAAAATTTTTTCAACGCTTTCGTGAATTTTGAAGAGCTTTCATTTTCAAAGTGTCATATACATTCTTGGACAGTGATGCCATATATAGTGGGAAATGCGCAAATCAGATACTTGGCAATTTTGTATTGTGAGATTGACTTTTTTTTTCATAGACGTGATTTTATTTGGATTTTCAAGCACAAGTCATTCCTGAAAGTTTGATTGTGTGACCAGTGAATTCTGAATGTGAAATCACGAAAAAAAAAAACAATCTCAGTATCTTCGAATATGAGGACCAAGCGTCTGAATCCGTCCGGTATTTCTAAAAAAAAAAAAAAAAGTTGTTTCTCAAACTTTATACCTGAACGTTTTCGTACTCTTTTTTTTCTATATATTTCTTGGTGTTTTTTCTAACGTTAGAAAATAGTATTTCGTGATGTGGTATTGGGAAGAACTTCGCCAAAGCGACAGTTGTGGATTGGTTTGACGCGGATTTGTGAAACTGGGAAGTATTTGAGAAAAGCATTAAAAAGATGGTTTTTTTTCTCCTCGCACTGAATTTCAGCATTTTTCTTTGTGTTTTTTTTTGTTGTTGTTTCGACTGTGAGATGGGGGTTGTTTTTTTCCAGGCCAAGTTGCGAGATGTTCGCAATGTCATGATTTCCGTGGAGCAAATGTGCAATGACTTCATGAAGGAGCAGAATGATAAAATGGCACGAACTGAGGAGATGTTGGTTCTCAGATTGCAAAGGGAAAAGGATGCTGAAATTGCGCGCAAATTTGCCACCCTGACGTGAGTTTTTGAATCATGCCAGCTCAGAAGTGAAGCTCTTTGAAATAAAAAATACTTTGAAATACGAAATACTGTGAATTGTGCACATTGTTACTGTACTGAAATGAACTTGCAGAAGATTTGGTGCAATGGATATCAAAAAAATTTTGTTTTGAATAGTGGACTGTGCTTGAATTAATAAATGGCAGACTTTCAAAAACTCGGGTTGCTATGATGTTTCAAGTTTTTTTTTTTAGATTTTTGAAAATTTTTCCCAATTTACTGCATGCTGACAAACAAAAACTTTCCAATTACAGCCAGAGTTCTCCATCTGTGTCACATGGTGCTAGAAATGTGTCAGACCATCTGAAAAAAAATTTGTCTCTTCAACCATTATCTGAAATTTATGAAAGATCATAGGTGAAAAAAGATTTCAATTTTTGCTGGCCTGATGAATTTTCAGCACCTTGTGACACAGAAGTAGAACTCTTGTTGTAACTGGAAAGTTTTCACTTATCCTGCTGTTATCCTAAACTGCTATAGAGGGACCGAATGGAATGATTAATGCTTCAAATGTCTCCTTTGCTTTTAATATTTTACTTCATTTTGTTGTTTGTTTGTTAAGCTAAATTATGTCAAGAAGTATTAACTTTATGGCTGGGGTGAGGCAAATTAATCTACTTCTCTGTTACTGAGGCAAGCGTGTGATTAGTTAAACCTTTCCAAGTCAAATTTCTAGGGACCAGGAAAAAAAATTTGACTTAGGGAGATTTTGATTGAGGGAAACAAATACTTTTGCTGCAAGGGAAAGTAAAAAATTGTGAAAAATTGTAGATGAGGATATTCTGGGCCTAAACTTGCTTCTTAATGATTTTACAGCTTGCTGTTGAACTTGGAGGCAGGGGTTCATTTGTTCAATTAGTCTTTCACTTCATTTCAAGATGCATAAAATAATTTGTTTTATTGATTTTATCTTTCATTTTCCCAGGAAATAATAACCAAAAGGCCCTAGAAAATCTGACTTACAGAGGTTTGAAAGCAAAATACTTCGAGCTGCAGGATTTTTAATGCATTGTTTTCTAAGGTAATCCAGACAGGGACTTGGAAAAATTTTTATTTAGGGAGGTATTTGACTGAGGGAGGTTTGACTTAGCAAGGTTTGTGTACAATCCCAGTTCAATCCATCAACAGTTTACACCAAACCAGCAATGAGTGCAGAAAGAGTGTTAGAACACTGTTCTTTAAATTTATTGGATGTGTATAACAGGTTGCTGACTGCTATAGGAATTATAGGATGGAAAGGAAACTGCAGTGGTTGCAAAGGCAAATGACTGGTGACCAGACAACATAAATGATTTGGTTGGGAGAGTCCCATTGTTATTAACCAGGATGACAGAAACATGCATAAAAATCACAGCAAAGTCAGGGCATTCTTAACATATTGCATGACTCTCTTAATAGTCATGTGATGACACAGCAGTACAGTGAAAAACTTTTTTTGAATGCAACAAAAATCTTAAAACATCAAAGCAACCTGATTTTTTGAAAGTTGGTAAATTTTCATGCAGTTTATTATTTCAAGCACAGCCCACTATTCAAAACAATATTTTGAGGATGCTCATTGTACAAAATATTCCGCAAGTTTATTTTAGTACAGTACCAATGTACACAATTCAAAGTATTTTGTGGGGACAATAATAACAATTATCTGGGTATTCTTGAAGAGCCATGGAACTCTGGCCTTCCATCTGTTTTCAATGTACAATTAATTAGCAAATTCCTTTCTTAACATGAACAAATACAAATTTTAGACATTGAAACTGGAATAAAATGTGTTACTTTTCTCATGTTTTATTATTTTTTCCACCAAGAAGCTAAAAACATAAAAAGGGAAGTAGAACATATTTTGATTGTGTTATTGCTCTTTGTATATTGAATAGATTACAGTACTGTTCTGTAATGGGTCTCAGGTTAATTTGATGACCAGCATATCTCATGTCTAAAGTGTGTTGTAAGGTCAAACCTTGATAAAACTGTGTCAATTTCAGTGGTTCGCTCTTTCACTTGAAGAAATTCTTTTTTGTCACTTTTTCATTTTTTTAACAAACATTTTTTATGAAAAATAGTCCCTAAACAAGTTTCTTGTTGTGAGGGTACTTGATGTGCAAAGTTTAAAGGTAATTTCCCTCATCTAAAAAAAGGTTTGTGACCCTTTTTTACTGTTTTGAAAGGAAAATTTGTGGGAATAATTTTCCCTGGAAAAATATTTTGTTATATTTGACTTCAGCCATAGAGGAAAGAAAAGGATGCTTGCTAGTCAACCTCCCTGCAAATTTGACCATTGAATTGCGGGATGGTTGAAGTCAAATTGCGGAGGGTCAAATTGCAATGTACCACCTGTTGTATATAGGAAAGAAAACGACGCCATATTGGAAGAGCACAAGGCAGTTGTGGAAGCGCAGTTGCGGCAGGAATTCGACGCCAAATTCCGCCGGGAAAGGAGCAAAATCCTGACGGAGTATGCTCAACATTGGGAGGACGCCTTGGCTCGGGCGGACGAGCGTCAAGTGATGCTGGAGAACCAATTCAGGGATCATGTGAATGAAAAGCGACGGGCCTGGAAAGAGAAGCTGGAACGGATGCAGAGAATGGAGCGGGATCTTTGCGAGGCCAAAGTGAGTCGTCATCGTCTCTCGTCATGGGCTTCATGTCTCGGTTAATGGACTGCTGGATCCATATTTTAAGAGTAAACGAGCGAGTTGGGTTCATAAGTGGGGTGAGAATATTCCTGAAATAATTCCAACCAAGTTTCAACAATTGCGGAATTTTTTTATGATTACAGTATACAGAAACAAGCTGAAGACCTTGTGCTTTAAATTAATTTTTACATATATTTTGTTTCCAATGTCAGGGAAAGAATGGGTGTATGCACACATGTCAGATTTCAAGTTGTATTTCATGGATTGTATTTTCTTTTTTTTTTGATATCAATTTGTGCTCTGTTTCCTGCTCTGAAGTGATTAAATGTCATTGAGTGGATTTGGGTTGGGTGGGAAGGGGGTTTGGTTGTGGAAATCTTGATTGAACCTTGTGAACGCTGAAAAGCGGCAAATAAAGTATTCTGTTCATTCATTCATTATGATTGCCCCATTATTTGGCAACACTTGGGTGCTGTTCCAATAACTTGCTGTGCGCTGATTTCAATGCATTTTTTTGTGCAATAAATTCTGTTGAAAAAAAATCTACCAGATTTCTGAGACAGTTGAATTGTGTATTCTTGAGTTTTGCCAAAACAATCTCCACTTGCTTAAACAATGTGTCAGCTATTAGCAGATGAAAATTTTAGAAGTGTCCCCAATGTGTTGGATTTTTTTTCCATGTTCAGTATTTTTATGCAAGCTTATGCAAATTTTGATTTTTGAGCCTTGCTAGATGTCTCTGGCAGTTGTGTGTATTATTATTCCTTGCTGTCAATATACAAGGATTGCTTCATGAATTTTCAGACATTTTTTGAAATAGATGCAACAGAGTTTCAAGAATTCCAAAATTGAATGTTTATTCTTACAGCCTCATCATTTGGCAACACTTTGGTGCTGTTTCACCATGCTCTGCGCTGATTTAAATGCATTTTTTTCATGCAATAAATCCAATGATCAAAAGTGTTCCAAAACGTGAGCTCTGTTAGTTGATTACTGGTATATAGACATCCCTGTGGCTTCTTCTGTCTGTTCTTTACAGTGAAGAATGACCTGAAAGGGATTAATTTTGAGGACAGTGATAGTCTCATTTCCGTCAACATAGAGCTGCTTAATCAACTAACAGAACTCAATTTTGGCACTTGGCAATTTTTGGATTGTTGGATTTAACGCTAGAAAAAATGTAATGAAATTGGCAGGGAGTGTTTTGAACAGCACTGAAGTGTTGCCAAATGATGGGGCTATGCAAAAAAGTTTTTTTCTTTTACTTTTGAAACCCTTTCGGTCCATTTTTTAAAAACCTCAAATTTATGTAAATGTGCCATTTTGGCTTGAAAAGAGAATCAAAATGTTTTAAAATCCACATTTTGTTGTACTCCTGTAAACAGCTAATGAGATTTTTTCAGAAAGGGAAGTTCCAAACATTCTGTATACAGCATAAGAAAAAATAAAAAAAAACATTTAAATGAGATGTAATTTGACTTTAGGTCCATGATAAGGTATAATTTTGTTCAGGAGATTCAGACATGGTAAAACATTTATAATGACCAGTTAATGAAGATATTGAATGCATGCAAGTTTAATTTGAAACATTCTTCCCAGTCAATAATTTTGAAAACCTCATGACAAATTATTTATTTTGAAGAAAAGTTTTTTGAAATTCCCACCAAGTCTGTTGCAGCAAAAGTGTTTATTGTTCAAGGATGGGTTTTCATATTGATCTGGAACAAATGAGAAATTCCAATAAACTTTTAATGACTTGTTGGTGAATACTATTTCCAAGAAGTCTAGAAAAATGACCCATTTTATATATACAGTCTCTCAATTCCTCAGGTAATACCTTTTCTAATAGCAAGCCTGGAAAAAATTGAAAATTCACTGATTACCACATCTAACATTGATTATAGATTGAAGCCCTGAGGATCAGCAATCCCAAAAGAAGCCTGGAAGTTTTAGATCCTGCTCTTGCTGATAAATATGTGGATACAATGGAAGATTTCGATGACACCCTCAAAGATGGAAGCATTGAATTCCATGAGAAGAACAACGTTGGGAACCAGACATCATTGGATCTGTTGATCATTCATCCTCAAGGTAAGT